TTTTTTTTTTTTGCTTTTAAAGTGACATTTAATTTAAAGGAGGCAGGTCCATACTTGCGTACAATTCCTTCTGCACACAACGACATTCCTACCGAGCACCTTTTTCTGCAAATCTTTCCTTTACTTTTAAATGTTGCTTTAAATTAAATGTCGCTTTAAAAGCAAAAAAAGAAAAAAAAATTACTTAAAAAATTATGAAAAACAAAATACAAAATAAAAATGATTAAAAATAATTTTTAAAAAATTATTATTATATTTGTTCTTCTTTTTATTTCCACTTTTATTTATTTTTTCATTCTTTTATTGACTCATTTTTGTAATTTGGCACTCTCACTCACTTGTGTAAACACATTCAACTGTGATGTAGAAAAACATTCCTGTATTTCACTGAGACGTCAATCCTGCTTTATTACAACAAAAGACACTAATTACACTTAAAGCACCTGGTTTATCCACCACAGTGTGTCTGGCCTCGAATAACTCTGCAGCTTCAGCATTTGTTGAGGTGCCGCTGTAAACCGAGCCGTGGAACACTGCAGTTTAAGATGCGTCATACCTGAATACAGTTTGCCCAGTAGCTGACTGCAGAGAAGCTCTCGGTGCATGTGATGTCATACATTAGCAGGAAAGCCTGGGCTCTGTGGAAAACATGTCTCGTGATGCTGCGGAACCTTTGGAAACAACACAGAGCGTAATCAGAGACAGTCTGCTTTCAGATTAGACATTCTTCTTGAGATCAGGCGGACACAAACACTACATCTGGCGCATTTCAAATTCTGTCCTCGCATGCACCCAACAGCTAACGTCTTTGTGTCGCAATACAGTTTGCAGAGACTTCCCTGAAAAAGTCTGTCAAGCTACATTTAGAAGGATAATGAAAACAGTGTGAGCGCGGCTGCCTGCACAGCGAAGTGGTTGGAGCTTGTCACAACATAAAGAAACAAATTCTTAGAAACCTGGAATGACACATGATGAATCGGGTGTGTACAGCTCGGTGTTAGCATTAAGGAGCAGCTTTTTGTAAACTCTCTGGGGCCATTAGTGCTCTTAAAACAGCACACCTTAGATTTCAACCACACTAATCCGACTGTCAGCGTAAATTTCACCCAGCGTGCAACATGTGGAGTGAACACGTGGGAATCTGCACTCTCCACCTCTGCTACTGGGAGCAAATCTGTAATCCATGCATAGAAAGCACTGCAGGAATATGCCAAACCAGTTCTCAAACAGGTTGTGTCCTCGCCTGAGGGGCACCTCTCAAGACTTTCACTCTGTTTTGAGGACACTGTCTGGCACATGTTCAGAGGTTGCTACGGTATCTGTATCTACAATAGCTCCGCGCATGGAGGATGTTACTTATGTAAACACTGTTACATGTGCTAATCAGAAGTCTTGGCTAAATGCCGAGGCGTACACATTGCTGAGAACACAGGGTGCTGCCTTCACATTGTGTGACAGTGAGACAACCTGTCCTCGGCCAACACAGAAACAAAGTGTGTCTGTACACAGAAAAGCCACAGCCACTTCCTAGAATAGAAAGACACAAAGCACGTGGCGCAACACTGAGGCAATCATAAATCATGTAGCAACACCCTGTGCCTTTTGAAGGTGGGGCTTCTTTTTGGATTTTCTCAATGACTTCCAAACTTGTGGCCTTGCTCGCACCCATGCCCAGATATTCTACCCAGCTACAGCAGACACCAGGACGTGTCTCTCTGGGCATGTGAGGCTGCCGGGCCAGACATCTTCACTGTTTCCACTCAATTCAAGGCCTCCGCTGTGACGCAAGTGCCAAAAAAAGTCAACTGCACTGCGTGTCAAGGACAATCAAGCCATAGCACTGACAATAGTGGTTCGATGATGCGGTTAAAGTTCCACCCCGGTCTTTCGTTTCAGCCCTAAAACCTCGTCTCTGTGTTTCAAAATGACATATTTTTTTCCAACAGTGAAAATCCCTTTCTGTTTAAAATGGCTTAGATGCAGCTCTACTCCGTCGTCACATCTGAGAGTTCTCCTCCTTTCACCTCCAGTCACCCCTAAAGCTGCAACTCAGCAGCTCAAAACAAACAAACTACCCAGAGTTACACAATGACGAGCGGAGTAATTCAGCCATACATGTTTGAACCAGAATATGTTCCAGAATAATTACACAGAGAGCTCCACCCTGCAAGCTGGAGGGACCGATCTTATGTACAAAAGTCTGAATCCATGTTTTTGACATCGTCTTTGCAGCTTCAGCTCTGTGGCTTTGACCGCTTATCACATCTTCCAGCATATATAAAAAAACCCCATATGGACGTGTTAATAAGGTAAAAAATTGGATTGTCACTGGAGGGGGTCTTGTCAGGAATCAACATATTATTTCTACATCATCTTCAGAAGAAAGCGGGCAGAATACACGACAGTAACTGAGTAGAAACTGACACGTTTTATAGGAAAATGAACAAACAGCATTTTCGTCTCAAACTGTAGGGCTGGAAAATGTAGAATAATATTAAAATTAACAAGATGATACCACAATAACTGACTGAAAATCACTGTATTTATGATAAAACACTTGTAATTCTGCTACAGGCAGTACACAGTGACGGCTGCATTACAAGAAAAAATGTTTGATAGAACTTTTCATCTCTAGTTTAATTGAAAGACCAGTTCTAAGAATAAGAATAATAAGAATAATTATTATAATTATTACCATTAACGTCTAAATAATGGGTCGTAAAAGGAAAGAGGGAACGTACCTTTCCTGTCCGGCTGTATCCCATATCTCTAGAACCACAGGTTTTCCATCCACTACCACAGTCCACATGCAGGAATCAAGGCCTGCGAACAATATTTACGTCACATCAGTCTGTACATGTGCATGTATTTATGGAGTGACGTAAAGATCAGGATCTTACCAATAGAGGCGGGTATATCTAAAGAAAACTTCCCGGTCTGAGCTCTCTTCATGAAGGAAGTCTTCCCCACGCTGCTGTCTCCAATCATCACCACGTGGTAGCTGGCTGATTTGAGGCCTGCAGCTCTGGGTTCGCCGGCTGAAATTAACATTAAAACGCTTTCTGGTCACGTTATGTTTCAAAACCTGGCAATAAAAGTTCCCTCAGCTGGATTTGTCTGTGACATCTGATCGTATTATTGGTCTTTACCCAAAGAAAACTGCTCTCGACCCAGGTGGGCTTCAGCACGAGGAGGCTGAAATGGAGTCTTCTCACTGTGGAAGCGACAAGCAAACACACGTCACGTTAAATATGACATTCAAAGCAAATTATTTATCACTCAGGATTCTGCAAGGCTTCACCAGTAAGAGTTTCACAAGTTTATAATGGAATTAAAGTCATTTGGTGTGAGGTGTGCAAGGGTTTTACTTTTTGTGAAAAAAAGTAAAATTTTTACACTCCTAGAATTTATTAAATATGAGAAATGACTGTATTATAGCAAGAATATTAACAACAATATGTGTCTCAAGGTCATGGTTGTTGGATTTAAAGAACTGCTGAGTGGCTCAAAAGACACAAAACAGAAATTACATCCCTCACAAAGAACGTATAGCAAACGGTTAAAAATACAAGAAATTCTTGGCATACCATTTATCCACCATCAAACTAAAAGGCCTTCCTCCAGTTTTCTCGCTGCCCCCTGATCCCTTTGTCTACCCTCCATTAATTGCCTGTTAATTTGAACCGATAAGAGGAATCTCGTCTCGTCTTTTACGCCGAGCGTCAGGAGGGCTCAGCGGCATTCACACCGTATCGCTTTCACCTCCCTGCTCTCTTAGCGGAGCAGCTGAGAACTCTAAATCAGCCCGTAGGAAGCTGAATAGCATCAACCGACTGCCAAGCGATGATGCCGCTGGCATGCGAAAAAAAATCTGTTGACACTGTGTGGTGTTTGTGCCATATACTGCCTGCATTGTACGATGTGCAGGAGGATTAGTGTCGATGTGAGTCACAAGCTCAGACTCCTCACTGACTCATATGTGTTCAACCGTCTAATGCATAGTTTCCTTTTGACATTACAAGATGCTGTTTGAGGAAAACACATATAGAAGAGTGGCCAAAACGCAGCAGAATTACATTTGCATTATTAAGTTTGGAGGATAGGCTTTTGTAAACTATAGGAATGGAGAGTGGGTGGAGGTGTCTCTGCCTATGATCTGGCACTATTTAAATGAGATTGTCTTGTGCAGTTGCATAACTTTCTGTACTGCTTTTTTTGCAGTGGGCGAGGTTCTATCTTGCTGGAGATGGTATACGGTCGTCCTCAGATGTATTCATATCCTCCCATTAAAGAAGGAAAAAAAACAAAACAACAACTTCAGTCACTGAGATAAGTTGAAATTGACAAAAGTAGTTATAAATAAAAATGTAATGAAAATCATGACGTTACTTTTGAATTGTGGTTCAACAGAAATATATATATATAAAAAAAAAAAAACAAGCATGATGGGACCCGTAAACTAATATTTAGTTGAACAACCCTTTGAGCCAATCACTGCCATCAGGTGTTTCCTGTAACTCTCAATTCTGCACCTGTTGACAGGTATTCTGGCCCACTGCTCATCAGCAAAGTGCTCTCATTTAACAGTTTTGTTTGTTTTTTTAAAATTAGTTTTTTCAACCACAGTTCAAAAGCAACATCTTATTTCACTCAATTATAATTTAGCAAATTTTTATTTATTATTACTTTTTTCAGTTTCTAGTTATTTTATTGTGAATTTTGCCTCTTCTTTAATGGAAGGGTGTGAATACATTTGAGGACCACGTCAGAGTTTCTGCCAGTAGAGTGTCCAGTTCTGCAGCATGACATATATCCACCTCAGTGTGCCATTTAGTTAACAGATCTTTCTGAAAGCTGGAATCCCAAACAGGCAGATCAGTATTTCATAGGAGCTTATCGGTGGGACAACCCCTGGATGTTTCTATATGTGTTGAACGTCGGTTACCTCGCAGGCCTCGGTGGTTCGCCAACCTTTGAAATAACGTCAGATGTCGGTTTCTTATCATCAACCTGCAAGACAAACATAAAAAAAATAACTTGACAGGAACGGATATTCAACTTTGACCAGATATTTCATCTTTTAGTTTTATGCGACATATATAGAGACGTATTGGTTCATAGTCTTTGCTTTAGAGTTAATTTATTTTAATTCAACGTCTTGAAAGTCATCATGTGCTGATCTCACTGGAAGCTGGTATCTTTCAGGTTTCTGAAGGGGCCAAACAGGTTTATGTTCTCCTTTCCAAAGTGTGAAACCTGTAGCGTAGACCACATGTTCCTCATTTGACTTTGTTGTGTCATTTTGTTCTTGCAACAAACATTTGGTTGGTGTGCAAGATGCGTTAAAGCAAATGGGAAGTACAACATAATACTCGTCTCATAATAAGCACCTCAGCTAAAGGCACATCATTTTGAATGCATAACACTGAATAATGTTAAGAAAGTCCACTGAGAACTGGCTAGAACTCACTAGTAGCTCATTGAAATGCAGTGAAAGCAAGTTAATTCAAAGTGAACATTTCTGCTCGACAGTAAAGAACATGAAGCTATAATTTGGTTTTTACCTCTGATATTCTTCGCAGACCCGCTGATTCCTCCCCAGATGCCTTGACGCCTCCTTCCTCTGCGATATTTCCGACATCCGTCTCCTTCTGTGCATCTAATCCTCCCTCCCTCTCTTCAGTTTGGTCTCCGTAACCTTGAAGTCCACGTGACTTCCGGTGGGATCCCATTTTTCTCCTCCTCGACCCAGACGCTGACGTTGCATCCTTTTTGGGAGAGGTGGATGGAAGGTAACTCGGAGTCAGCTGCTCTGTCTCTAGAAGTTGGCCTTGAGAAACAGGATTTTCCTCAACTGTCTGCTGAGCCGGCGGAGCTGACTGAGACTCTCCGACTTGGCTGTGTTCCACCGTTTCTAATAATCTTTGGTGTTCAGGGTCACCCTCTTTGTGCTCTGTGTGAAGCTGCAGCTCCGTCTCTTTGATTCCAGGGACAGTCTTTATACCTCCTGCAATTATTTCGGTCTCTGTTGCCTCGTTATCCTCGTCCTGCTTTTGACGCGAGCCTTCCTCTCTGGTTCGTGATCCAAGATTCCTGCGGGTGGAGCCCATCTTTCTTCTCCTGCTGGTCGGAGTCAGATTTGGGCTGGCGTTCTTCATCTCTGGAATTTGAACTTCTTCTATCACAGTGTTTGGCTTTTGTTCTTTAGATTCTTGGTCCTGTGTTGCACTCTGTGGCCTTTCATCATCATTTCGTGTACTCTCTGTGGTCACGCCGAGCGCTGAGCTTCCTCCTGTGGTGCCAGTGTGTGCTGTGGTCTCAGTATTTAGGGGCAGCAGCTGATCTAATGAGCGTCTGTCTCTTCCAGCGATCACAGGGGTTATTTGTGTCTCAGCACTTGATGGCTCCACGTGAACGTCTACGTTTCTTTCACCATCCTTTCCATCAGGATCGACAGCTTCCTCACTGCGAGAGGCTGACGGTTCAGGAGCCATTAAACCATCTCTGCCTGGTATCACGTTACTGCTGCTTCCTGGCCGATGGCCCTCATCATGAGCAGAGCCGCTTTCTTCACCTTCCTTTGGTTTTTTATAAAAAGCACCCAACAAAGTCGGTGCGTCTTCATTTTGCGACACCTCTGCAGTTAGCACCAGCTCTTTCACGTCTTGCGTCTCATCGAGATTTCTCACATCAGCTCGTGCGTTAGCTTCACTTTCTGTTGTTTCGCCTTTGTTGTCCGCTTCTCCCTCTTGTTTCCTGTTGAGTTGACTCCTGCGAGTCGAGCCCATCTTCCTCCTCTTCTGGTCGGATTTTACTTGCAAGTTTTTACTCTGATCTGATTGAGTTTTTTCTTCTTGGCTCTTAGGTGCATCCATTGCTGTAGAGATTCCACTTTCAACATCCCCGACCGGCTCAGAAACAAGTTCATGTGACAGATTCATTTCTTGAAGTGCATCGACTTTGTTCGTAGAGTCTTTTTCTGCCGCTTCACCCTTTGCTTGTTTATCCATGGAACTCTCTGCACCCACAGTTTCTATCGTATCATTTGTCTGTTGCACATCGACGTCTTGTCCCACTGCGTCTTCTGTATTTTTGAGCTGCGATGCTTCTTCTTGGGCAGACGTGTCCACAGTGCTTGGCCGAGCATTTTCACTGTCATCATGATGTGAGATATCTTTCCAAACTGAGGCTTGTGTTGGTTGCATCAGGTCCATTTTGACTGTGTCATGTCCTGTGAGGTGACTTAAGTTCTCGGTTTCTTTGACGGGTTTCTCCTCTTTGTCATCGACGTCCTTATTAGATTCGAGAAAGTCATCGTCTGATCTTGAAGACATGTCTGCCGTCACGACTGCACTGCTGTCTGTTGAAGATGTGTCTTTCTCTGGCAGCTTTTCATCGTCATTCACAGCTGACGTATTTCTTATTTTCTCTGGAGATTTCAGGCCTGTTAGTTCTTCCTGCCTCGCTGTCTCTGATGCTAATGACATGCTTGGTGTTTCGGAGGCTTCATCAGCTCTGGTGTTTTCTACAGCTTCTTCTTTAGCCTGCTGCCTTCCTTTATGTCTTCGGCTTGACCCCAGTTTCCTTCTGCTCCCTATTGGGTTGGGGGCTGTAAGAGTTTCATCCTTGATGCTCTGAGGATTGTCCTGCGACTGGGAGTCCAAAGGAGCATTTATTTCTGATGGCAGTGTTTGGGGCTCTGTATCGATTTGAAGCAAATCTTGCACTTGTTTCGGGTTAATCAGCTCTTCATGCTCCTTGTTTACAACATCCTCTGACTGCTTAGCTCCTGTGACTTCAAATGGGTTGAAATTCTCATTTTGTTCCCCACTTGCAGCCAGCTCCTTTTTTGGTGATTGCTCAACACTGCTTTCAACTTCAGTATGTTCTCTGGAGCTGCTCTCCTCTGCGGTTATCTCCGTTGTGGTTGGGTACTCTGCATTTTCTGCTTCCACATGTGACTCACTAAACAAATCATTGCCCCATGAGCGTCCATCCTGTCTGAACAGTTCTGTGTTCTCATCGCTCTCCTTGTTTTCAGCCACAGAGGAGGACACGCTGGGAAGCCCTTCATCTGGCCTCTCGCTGGGGATTGACTCGACTAGCTGTCCATCCGCTGCGGGACTTGAATGCAAACTTGAACTGCTAAACTCAGAGATGCCAGCAAGTGGGCCAAAATGTTCATTTTGTTTGACATGAACAGCGTCTTTAATTTGAGGGCTGTCAGATTTGTCCGTTCCTTCCAGCATAGTTTCCATTGATTTTTCCTGGCTTGACCCCAGTTTGCTTGTGTTCCCACCAGAGTTAAAGCTTGTGTTGTTTTGCTCAGGCTGGGAGTCAAAAGCAGCATGCAGCTCATGTTGCAGGCTTTGTGAAGAAGATTCACTGTCCTCCATTTCAGAAAAGAGTCCCGCCTCCTGAGGACCTGTTTTTCTTGTACCGGCTTTTAAATCATCCTTTTCTTGGCCTTCAATCTCATAAACATCAGCCTGTGCAGTGTTTAGTCTTTCTGTGTCACTGAGCTGTGGTTTCTCAGTATCATGCACATGATCAGCTTCATTTCCCTGGCCTGAAACCTCAAACACGATGTCTTTTGTAGCATCATCAGTGCTTTTCACTGCCAGCACCGATTGGTTTGTGTCCCTGATTTCAGCTCGGTCTACCGAGGCTTCAGAAAAGATTTTAGTACTTTCTGTGGCATCATCTATCACACCTCCAGATGTGTTATCAGTTTGAGGCATTTCTGGCATTTGTGGGAGCCTAATCTCCTGTTCGTGCAATATCTTTACAGCATCCTCCGAATGCCGAGCCTCGTCTCTTTCCTTGCTCTCTACATCTGTTACAGAAGAAACATCCAGAAGTTGCTCATCTGGCATCTGTGTGCAATGTGACAGGTCAATTACCTGTTGATCTACTGTAGGAATGGAATGTTTTTCACTTGTAGTTAACTCAGAAGTGCAAGCATGCGTGTCAGCGTGTGAGTTTTCTTCTTCATTCTGAGGAGCGTAGGATTTGTTCGTTCCTTCCAACATGGTCTGGTCTGCTGTCTCTGTTGTTAATGGTGTTTCTGTTGTTTCACTGGGTTCACGACCATCAGCGTCCTCCGTAGGTTGGTCGTCTTTAACCCGCTGTTTTCCTTTATTTCTACGACTAGACCCCAGTTTTCT